CTTCCTTAATTCATTTCCTTCTATTATCTCAAATCTAGTCTCGTTGCTCAGGTTGTGAATAGCGGGCGGATATCTGGCAAACGTCCGCCTCGATTTTCCTATCTCCACAGGGTTTCCTTCTATTTCCCATGCAAAGGTTATCTTCATTTCTCCCACTTCGTTAGCTTCCTGATATTCTTCGTTTTCTTCTGCTGTTGGCTCATCTAAATGTTTGGCTCTGGACAAGGCATCTGCATTAATGTTCTCACTTCCTTTCTGATGTATCACAACAAACTCAAACTGAGCCAGTTCCGCGTACCAAGTTCACAATATACTTCAAACTAGCAGTATCTGTGTACTTCAGAATATGTTCCCACTTCTTCATACACTTCACCAGGGCGAGTAGCTCTCCCTTGGCGCTGGAGTAATGTCTCTCTTAACGGTTACATTTACGCCCCCAACAGCCTAGAAAATGTTCCACCCCCTCTTGTTTCTGTGACAAAACCCCTGCAATGTTTAAAGACAACCAGTCCGTAGTAAGAATAAAGGTTCATCAGAATCAAAATCTGGATAAGCTTGTATCCGCCCTGCCGAAAACTCCGCCTTCAACTCCAGGAAATTCTTCTCCATGATCTTCGGTCCATTCAAATTTCTCCGCCTTCTTCAGACTATTTATCCTGTTGGTCAAAGCCGAATACTTCCCCTGTAATAACCCGTGAACCCAAGAAATGACAAGATTTCCTTACAACTAGTGGGACGTGGCCAGCTCTGTATATCCTTCACATATTGTTCTAACATCTGTACTCCGCCCTGGCTCACTTTATGTCATCAGTATTCGGTTTCTGTCTGAAATATCTTCGTCTTCTTGGGTTGAATTTTGATCCCTGCCTTCCTATGAGCCTCTACAATGCTCTTCAGGTGCTTCAAGTGATCCCAGGTGTCCATGGAGTAAACAAGGATGTCGTCGAGGTAGGATAACCAGTACTCCACAGATAAATGTGCCAGGGCTAGGTGCAACATCCGGCTATAAACGCTTCCGGCATTTGACAGTCCAAAGGGCATCCTTATATAACGAAAGGTGCTGAAAGGACTAATAAAAGCTTTACAATCCCTGCTCCCCTCTTCTATCTGTATAGCGTGATATGCCCAGCAGGCGTCTATTGAAGTGAAGATTTTTGCACCCTTCAACTTTTGTAGTTTTTCCTGAATATTCATCAGAGGATAAGCATCCTTGATTGTGACATCATTAAGCTGCCTCAGTTCGGTCACCCATCTTGTCCTTCCATCCTTTTTCTTCACCGGAACTAGTGGCGATGCCCAGGGACTGTATGCAGGTTCTATAATCCCCAGTTGGATCCACTCATCCAATTGTTCCTTCAAGTTTGCACGCTGATCTGGGTTCAATGGCCTCACCTTAGATCTCTTAGGTACTGCCCCTGGTTGTAGTTCTATCCTCAGCTCCAATAAATCTGTTTTACCATAATGATTTTGGTGAAGAGCCAACGTAGAAAAGTTCTCCAGAAAGAGTTTGATTACTTCCTCTTTCAACTTTGCATCCCGGTTCAAAATCTCGTTCTCATCTATCTTGAAACTATCCTTGATAAACTTTCTCCTACTCTCTTCTGTTGGGAAATCAGATTCGTGCAGAGAATTAAGTGATTCCTGTGAATTGCACACTTCCTCTTCATCTAAATCCTGTGCCGTACTTCCCCTTAACTCTTCTTTAATCCAGGCCTGTTTATCTATGCACATACTATGTATAGTGCCCAGCTTCTGTCCTACGCACAACTCTACACACTCTTCTGCATGGTTCTCCATGTATACTGCTTGTACACTTCCTGACAGGTCATACGCATTCTCCGGAAGTAACACTTTTCTCCCCTTCTCCTGATTTTCTACAGGCAATGATTCTACTACCCCAGCACCCTTCCAGTTCCCTTCTGTTCTCACCTTAACTAGTTTCGCACTTCCTGCAGGGATATTTACCTTCTCCGCAGACCATAACTTCCTCTCTACCACTTCCTCCATGTTACTAAGGTTGTTTACTTCCGGTTCCCTTCTCTCTGCTTTCCACACCGTGGGAATTACTTGCGCATACTTCTTTGCTTCCTTATCTACCCTTCTGCCTTTAATCATGAAAGGGAAAGGTTTACCATCAGCACTGCACAGCCTCATTAGCCTTTCTTGTCCCTTACTTCCGGTTACTAGTTTCACTTCCTTCTCAGTACAGGATATAGACACTTCCTGCTGGCGAAAAAACTCGATAGCAAAATTCACATTATGATTTAGGCCTTCTATCACGATCGGTTCTACCTCAAATCTACAGTCTAGACCATCCAAGTAGAACTTAATCCTTTCTCCTTTCCCTAATACTCTCAACCCTTTCCCACCTTTCTCTGCCGTGTGTACTCTAGTGTTACCTTCCTCTAACATTTTCCCCACTATCATCTCCCAGAATTCACTTGACACTAAAGTACCTTTCACTAAATTGCCTGTATCTACTAAGGCTAACCCGTATATATCTCGTTTAAATAACTTAAATTTCACATACAAGGTTTTACGGTTGTTTTTCTCAACTAAATTAACATTGTTCAGATGTGTGAGAATATTCTTTTCCCACTCTTTTAGTTTGAAATCTGTATGTCCGTTAGGTCTCAAACTACCTCTCACTTCCGGGTTAAAACCATTAGATATTTCCCCAACCTTGTCTATATTATCTAATACTTCCGTTCTAACTCTATCACTCTTCACTTCCGGTATTAATTCACACAAATCAAGGACATTTGGATTAACAGAAAAGTTTATTAAACAATTATTATTTACATTCACATCATTATTTTCTGTAATCATAGGAGCTGACGACCGTCCATCATCGCAACTCCCTAGGGAAAAACCGCTTCTGGAACCAGTTTCTTCAGAACTTCCTGCATCACTGCCATAGATTTGGCCATATCCGCCATCTGTCCGCCTCCATATCCATCGTTCCCTCTCCTTCCTTGGTTTCTACGTTCTCCTCTGCATTCCCTGGCAATATGGCCCTCTTTCCCACAATTATAACATGAAATTGATGGGCAGGAATTATCACTCCGAGGGTTTCCCCCCAGGTTTCCTGTGGGGGTTTTTCTTCTTCCATTCTTCGAACTTCCTGCAGTCTCTCTTCTGATGACCGGTTTTCTTGCAAAAATAACACGCCTCTCCACTCTGCAGAGCATTCACCCCACCCTCGACATCAAACTCCTCCACATCCGACACGTCCTCCACCAGCCCTGGCATGGCGTTGACGTCCATGGGTACCTGCCCTGTCTTCAACATCTCGTTGGCCTTAGTCATCTCACTCCTATCATACCCATAGGTACTATGTAAGCCTGACATATCTTGTGCTGGAGCCCTTGGGTCCATATTATAAGTCCTCAGGTTTACCAGTTGGTGGTCCAGAACTGCTTTAATCTCCCATTCATGTTTAATCTCTTTAGGCATAAATTTCAGGCACGTTTTCCTCAGTTCAGCGTTATACAGTCCTAACAGCATACTAGTCTTGAATTCCACAAGACTCCTCTGGGCTGGGGGGTATGCTTGCACGAATAACCTTAGCTTGTCTGTGTAGTACTGCCTAGCATCTTCGTTTCTCGCCTGTCTCCGCTGCATATACTCCATCTTCCTGCCTTCCTCATCCTTCTCATGAGTAAACTTTTTTAGTAATTCCTGAAAGAATTCACCAATCTCGTAATTGTCAAAAGCTAATCCATCAGGTTTCAACAATACTACCTCAGACTGTGCTTTTCCCGTTATACAGTCTAACAGCATCCTCTTTATGGTATCATTAGGGATCGTTTCACATTCGTTTCTTGACAGATGCTTCTCTAATTCGCCACACCAGTCAAACACTTTGGCAGGGTTACCATCATAGGTTGGAGCTGTACAGCTAAAATTCAACATCCTCTTCTTATACTCCGCCTCCGCCTTGCTCAGATCTCTCAACGTCGGCCTATCTCCTTTGCCAGCTGCCTTCTCCGCTCTCAGATAAGTCAAGTAAACTTCTTGAGCATCTTCCACCTTAGGGCGTTCTAGTATTGCCACTATTCTTCCGATAGAATCTTGGGTCTGGTGTAGCTGACTCCTGCCAAGTCTGAGCGAATGATTTCTCCTTATCTTTCTGTTCTATACTCGCCAATTTATCCTTAGTCTCCGCCAACTGTGCTTGTAGCATCTGAAACTGTTGCCTCATCTCCCCCAGGCCATCTATCGCTGGGTAAGATGGTCCCTCCATCTCTACTTCCGATTCCGAATCACTGGGTAAACTTGGGTATCCCTGAAAGGTAGCCACTGTATTTCCTGTAGCCCCACTTGACCCTCTCACAGGCAAATCCTCTCCTGTCTACACTTCTCTGGCTAATCCGTTAAACCAGGTTCTCACTTTACTTTTCTTCCGAAATACTTTTGGAGTCTCTGGCATCTAGATTTAGGTTATATTATAATCCCACCGCTGCCACCACTTTTGTAAGATATCTAGATGCTATATACTGCAATGATAACTCAACTCAAAGTCTTATTCAGAATCTAACCGACTCTCTCTCTCTAGCCAAAACTCTAGGCTCTAGGTACGTCCGTGTAAACCAACAAGTAGTACTCAACTAATTTACTTTATATAACGGTGAAATTAAACTGACCGTACTGGCCAGTAGGGGTCAACATGAAATATGATAAGATAGATAAACGAACATAGATAAATCAGAAATTACTAGCATGGTTACATAATTCATTACATGATTATGAAATTAAAAATTTTAAAAGATTAATTTATTTTTATTATTATTAAGATTATGAATTGTTGATAACATTAGATTTGAATATTTAAATTAATTAAATGCATTTGTATATTTTTGTATATTCATTGTAAGTATTTGTGAGAAGTATTTTCAAACTTATCATCAATTTAAGAATGATGCTATTAATATTAGAAAAAATCATGAAAAATATAAATAGAACATATTTAAATGTTTCAGTCTTCAGATATATTTAGAAAGATTACCTTGCAGTTGGCATTGATGGAAGCTCTGCAATGAATCCCTCTTCAATACTGTAGACTTCAACAAGAGATAAGTAGTTGTATACAGATTCTCCTCCAAGCAGCATCACTTGACTCACACTAGAATATAAATGTTAAGAAATATAAAAAATAATTAAAAATTCTGGCAGTTTTATTTTTGATGATATTATCATATGATTATGTTCAATTGTGCCAACTTTAGATGTAAGATATCTTTAACAGTTTGTTCTTTTAAAAGGGGAATTTAGCAAACTTGAACAATGTTTGTAATAAATATATAAGTAGATACATCTTACTAGATTTATTTTTGAAAACCTGGTGGCAAATATTTGACAACAGCATATATTCTGTATAAGAATTCATCTTATTTCATCATTATTGATTAATTATATGTGTGCACTTGCCATGATTAATAGATAAAAATAAAGTGTATACCCGATAGGAACAGCACAGTGACTAGATCTTGCAGATGTTAATTCATAGTTTTGAAGCTTCCAGGAGGATCCATCAAACACCTCCACAGTAGCAGTCCTCCTAGTAAACAAATATATAATTTTAAATGATACAGGTGAAGGGGTTTGATTGAAGTATTCCAGTTTGTAAGAATGTTTATATAATAATTCAATATTTTAATTTAGAAATATCCATGTTCTTAATAGCAAAGAACGAAAAGGGTTATGAAACAAATAAAAATAAACATAGAACATACTCCTGTGAATCATATCCTCCTGCAGCAAGTATCTTGTCTCCTAGTGTAGTCAGGGTAAAGTATCCTCTAGCCACATTCATACTTGCAAACTCTATCCAGCCCATTCCCTCATTCTTGTAACAGTTGCTAAACAAAAATATTCAATTTCAACTTTTATTTAGTGAATTTTCATCTTTTTAATACATATAATTTATATTCTGTATTATATTATTGTTTGATTTATTAGTTTTCACTAGTTCACTATATTCTACATGCGCCATTCTATAGGTATAGGTTTGCAACATTTAGGAGTTTAACACACTTTATTTTTATTACAATGTGTTTAAATCCCCTCTCCCTCCATCACTATTTTATTTTGTATTGAATGTATTTATTCAATTAAAAAAATTTAATTAATTTCTTTTAGGAATTGCTGTAGCTCTTAAAAAAAACTAGCAGAATATACTAAAAAGTTAAAATGCTCCAATCTTAGTGTAAAAAACACAAAGAAAGGTTTATTGCATCAAAGAATAATAGTTGCATTTAAATGAATTGAGTCTTTGCTACAAACTCTGATTTTCCAATCTTATAAACTATGAATTCTGTTACCTCAAATAGTGTAAGTTTACACCATTATCTGGCAAAGTTATAAGGATTATAAAATTGTGTCAAAGACTTAGTTTTTATGAACGGTTTCAGTAAAATAACTAATTTCTGCACTTATGTCTAGTTATTCTTTATCAAAAGAACTTATAGATTACTTGTCAAAAACTTAAATTTTCTAATCCCAATATCTTTGAATCTGATGGTGTAAACCATTGATATATTAAACTTACAACAATTTCATCTAATAGTATTCATAGTAATAAAAATGTCTAAGGTCAACAAAATCAGGTTGACCTGAGACATTTTATAAAAGATTAGAAGGTGTTAAGTTACTTTGTTTACAGTGATTATTTCTAAAATATAAAACCTAAATGTTCAAGAATTTCCAATATAAAATGTCTAAATTATATCATATTTAATCATCTGTTTTAATAGGGAAACTTTGAATATGAATTTAGCACTGAATAATCATTAAGTAATAGATTGGCTTAAATATTAGTAAATCCTATTCTAGTATTTAATGTAATTAAACGTTATGTATCAACTCCTAAGTTGCATATCACCATAAAGCTAGATCATTTCCCCCGCAGTAAACAATCTGTCCATTCAGAACTGCAGCTCCTAGGATATATTAATATAATTAACTAAAAATACACCTTTATTAAAACCAATATATTATACAAAATATATACATTTATTTTCTTATGTTCTTATGTTCTCATAGTTAGAAAATAAATTATATTTTGTTGTATTAATCATAAGAATTCCATATTGTAAGATACATTAATCTATAATTCTGTGATAAATTAAAATTGTGTATTTAAATTTGATTTTCTCGTTGTAAACCACATTATATTATTTATGCTTGTTTTTAACTTTATTTGAATTCTAAGCTCAAGATATATTCTTTACAAAAGAATGTTAACCTAGTCCCCATAGTCCACCAATATCTCCTATTGCCACATCACAGGGATATGATTCAGTTTTCCCATCTATATAAACATAATTTTAATATGATTCATTAATGTTTCTGTCTAACTGAAATATTTAAGAAAATATTTTTAAAAAATTATTTGAGAACATAAAAACTTTCATATTATAATTATATTATATCATATATTCTAGTTAATTTAAAAATGTATTTTAAAAATTAATTTACTACTAAAATTAGATTTTTTAATTTAAAAGTTGAAGGTTTCCAAGGAAAATAAGTCTATGTTGATTTTTTTTTATATAAATCATAATATTTGTTAAACAATAATTTGATTCAATATTGATAATTTAATTTATATGTTTGAAAATAAAACAATGTTAAATGTTAATGTTTATATAGATTTAATGAACAAATATATGTGTTCTACAGAAGTGTATATTTTGGTTTCTTTATTGTATAAGAATAAAATAAGAAAAACTTACCATAGCCACCTCCTAGAAGTACAGCAGTTGTTTCTGCAGAAACAAATCCCTACAATAAATACCAATATAAACATAATGACAAATAAAACCTAGCTTATAACTACAAATATGAAAATAGAAAGAAAGCTGTAAGATTAATTATTAAGTGAAATCGTTTTCACATTTTCATTAAATAAAGCATACTGATTTGCCTTTAAATAGCAGGATAGGGTTTGAATGGATATATAAACTTACCTTGCTACAGGAGGCCAGATATCCAGCAAAAAGAATAGATACAATCGAAAGAATCATACCTGAAAGAAACAAATGTTGTTTAGTAAAATGATTCATAACTGTTTTCTTGATTGCTTAAATTAAATTGATAAATGAATATTTTACCTTATATTTTTTTCTGAGTTTAGCAGTAAAGTTTTAAACTTTATAAAGCACTAATAAATTCATAAACTTATTCATTCTTTTATACTGTTCAAACCTTAGATAATGCTTGTAAGTAAACATGGACTTTAAACTCTGGATTCCAGAAACACAAAAACCTCATTTTCTAAAAAGTGTACAAAGTACTATGTACAGAGAACAACAAACACACGTACAATGTAAAATTACACATTATAAAAAAGACAAAAGGTATGGTACATTCCAGTTCATTTCATGAACCTGGCCGAATTTCAACTAGCCAAGGCAAGCAGTACTGTACAAATAAAGACTTTATGAGGCAAAACTGGACTGTACACCAAATGAATGATTCCCTTCTAGTAAAATTTATGTGAAGAAGAAACTCAAATATATGCGACACTACTAGTATGATTGTTATACCTCGTAGATCCTTTTCTTGCTATGAATGTACACAAACTTTGATAGCAAATTTATCCAATTTCATATTAGAAATTTTAAACATTTTTTCTCTCAAAAGCTTATTTAAAGGGAGTGTTCGCGAAAAATGATAGGGGGTATAGGCTTTATGCGATAAAAAAGCGCTTTTGATCGCTACTAATCTTACTTCTATCTGTTGCGTCTATAAGGAGAAAATTGATAAAAACGTCTCATACCGAAGAGCGTAGCGCCCATACAAATTGAGGAAGTTGGAACATACGACTTAGACCGAAAAAAAATCAAAATAATGTACAGCGTACAGTGTACAGCGTACAGTGTACAGCGTACAGAGTACAGCACAAAGAGTACAGCATAGAGAGTAAAGCATACAGAATCCATCGTACAGAATACAGCGAACAGAGTGAAGCTTACATTTTACATAGTACTGAGTACAGAGTACAGTGTACAGAGTAGAGTTTACAGAGTAGAGAGCACAGTGTACAGCATACAGTGTACAGCATGCAGTGTGCGGTGTACAGTGTACAGCGTACAGTTTACAGCGTACAGTGTACAGCGTGCAGTCTACAGACTACACTGTACAGCATACAGTGTACATCATGCAGTGTAAAGCGTACAGTGTACAGAGTATACAGTGTAAAGAGTACAGCATACAGAGTACAGCATGCAGCTTACAGTGTACAGTGTACAGTGTACAGCTTACAGTGTACAGTGTACAGTGTACAGTGTACAGTGTACAATGCCAGTTTTAAATAATATAAATATATAATTTCTAAAGAACGTCTACCTACGTCCTACAATCTATATGTAGGGGATGAGCATGCATTTTTAAAAATGATCGGGAAAACGAAATTTCGTTTTGGATTTTTCAAAACAAACATTCGTTTAAAAAAAAGAATTGTTCAAACTTTGCGAAGTGTTAGTTTTAAGCTTTTGAAAACAAAAAACGAAACGAAAGGACAAAACTTTTCGTTTTTGTAAAAAGTTTTATTTTTTAAAAACTATCGTTTTCAAGAATGATCATTTCGTTTTCAGATTGTTTTTCTTTATAAACGAATCGAACGTTTTTCAAAAAAGTCAAAACTGTCCATCCCTAGCATACATATTTCTAATAACATACATTAATTGTTGAAAGTTCGAGCTTACAAATTTGTGATCACATTTTTTTGTGCACCCCCCTAAAAAAACCGGTATTATAAGAAAAAATAAAGTTTAAAATCTATATTTATCTACCTGAAGGCTGACTATTAGTCATCTGACCATAATTATCAATCATTTTAAATAAAACCCAGCGAAAAAAATATTATAAATAAGATTAAGGCACAAGGAAGAATTTGAGAAATAATCTTAAAATGGACAAATTGTGACATTGTCGATTGATAAGAAAAGTAACAAATCTGAGCTGAAAACTATAGAATGATGGATATCAAGATTAATGCATAAACTTCTGGTTTTACTAAACCCAAGATTATTTTAAAATGCATATCCAAGAAAGAAGTTAAAAATTTAACCAATCAGCGTATCATGTTAAGATGTACTCTTTAACTTTTAAAAAACCGGTTTTGATTTCTGGTGTTGATGGTGTCATATCATTGAACTAAACATCGATTGAACGAACGTAAGTTTTGGATTAATGTTTATTAAGACAAATGTTAAAAATGACAATAGTCCTAAGTTATGTTTTTGAATAATTTCATATTAAAATGATTAAATTTATATTTGTTTAAATGCTCTAAAAGCCGGCATGTGCACAGCTGGCTTTAATTCAATCGGATATTAGTCTGATCGATATAGCATATTGTATCTGTAATTGTTATCAAACATAACTTTTATACAGTAGAGATATCCAAAAGAGGATTAAGAATAAAATCAAAAGTATGTGCATTGGATACTTAGATTAAGCGATCGTGATTAAGGAAATCTCATTCTAAAGTTTTCAGCTCTGAATATTATGTAAGTTTACTGCTTAATATATTAGACCCTGCCAATTTTCTAGGTTTTTTATTTTGCACTTTTCGCTTGGTATCTGTAAAAAAAATAGTTTAGTTAAATTTGAACATGAATAATTCATTCTTTCCAGTAAAAACATTCTTTTCTCTTAACCCTATTCCTGCTGGGGGGGGGGGGTAATTTGACCCCCTCCTGTATTTTTTTTACATAACTCAAAAAGTATTGGTCTGAGGCTGTTGAAATTTTCTGACTTTTCTTNTTTTAAAAATCCTCCCTTAATTAAAGTTAGAGGTTTAATTTTTACTTTTTAATAATCCTCCCTTAATTAAAGTTAGAGGTTTAATTTTTACTTTTTAATAATCCTCCCTTAATTAAAGTTAGAGGTTTAATTTTTACTTTTTAATAATCCTCCCTTAATTAAAGTTAGCAGTTTAATTTTTACATTTTAAAAATCCTCCCTTAATTAAAGTTAGGGGTTTAATTTTTACTTTTTAATAATCCTCCCTTAATTAAAGTTAGAGGTTAAATTTTTACTTTTTAATAATCCTCCCTTAATTAAAGTTAGAGGTTTAATTTTTACATTTTAAAAATCCTCCCTTAATTAAAGTTAGGGGTTTAATTTTTACTTTTTAATAATCCTGATACTACCTATCCAATTCTTTATCGATCTAGGAGACAGAAAGAGAGGGAGTTAAAGCGTAACTACAACCAAGTTTCTTACTCAACCAAATCTAAGTTAAAGGGGAAATAGACCATAAAGTACAACTACTAGGATCAGCTAAAACCTAAGCAGAGGTGCCTCTTGATATCTCAAAGGAAATTCTACTTGGAAATAAATCAACAAAACCAGAATTTCAAATATCCGTTCCCATGCAAATATTATTTTGAAATAGCAAATCTTGCGGAACTTTCGTTGGTCACTGGTTAATCAATTATAAAAGATATAAGTCTTATAAATGACAGATGCTCGCCATAAAGAGGAGCAAGTTAAATTGCAGGGAAAAACTCTGGAGTAGAGATGGAGCTAGAAATCAAACTTGACCAGGGATTAAAGAGACAGGAGACAAAATTAGAATCTCAACCGAAACTCAACTCTAAGGCAACTTTGCTAACTCTTTTACTTTCAACCGTTCACAATAAAACTAACTCGACCGCCACGCTAAAGAAACCGTTCCAAACTGGTTTATTAACGATAAGTAATCTTACTAGGAAACCTGGAGTTAAGGTAAGGATGGAGTTGACCCGGAGATAGGATGAGAACACTAGGGTTAGATCAACACTACAGATTTCAATCAAGGAATACTATTCTAAGCAGTGCAGTTTAATTTAATCTCAACGTTAGTTTCAACGATCTAAGATCTCAATCTTATCTATATATGGTTTTAGTGTCTAGTTTTCTATCTTCCTAACTTTCTAACTTCTCTAACTTACTTATTGGTTATCCTAACAACTGAAGTTTAAAATTACGATGTTTCTACTTATTACTTATTTTTAGCTTTAGAGAATAGATTGTTAGTTTTCTAAACTAAATATGTTAGACCAAAGGATTGTTGGAATCAAAAACGATCTTCAAGAAAATAGAACTACAAGTTTCTTTAGTCATTTATTTTCTCAAACTAGAAGTTCAAAGTCGGAAACAATTGGACTTGAACTAAATTTCAGAAAAGATGCACTTGTTTAAAATTATTTCAAGGTTCAAACAACGATTCCTTTTACGTCAATCTAACACTTTTAGCTGAAAATGGGAATTTGACAGATAGACATATTAAAAGTGTTTAATAAAACAAGACTCACCAATGGATGCGTTGGTCGGGTTCACGATTTCACTTTTCACTATTTTCACTTTATTCACTACAAGGGAATAAAACCTTGCTCGTGATATCGAGGGTTAATGACTAATTTCTTAAAACTTGCCACGAAAAATTTTACTAGAACCAAGTTGCAAATAATCTTTTCCGATAACTAGTCTGCTTGGAAAAGATGAGATTGAAATAGAAATAAACTACTGTACGAATATATAAACAAAACCCGGAACAGAAAAATTGAGTTGACGTTAATAAAACTTTAAAGTCATTAAAACCTGATTTGCGCGATCGGGCTTAGCTCAACCTTGGGTCACTGATTTTTCACACTGTTCAGTGCCTTTACTGTCGCAAGCCCTTTTATACCCGGAAATGAACCGCCGTTTGACCAACGCACCTTACCGCCATCATTATCCAATCAAATTCCCTTATTTCAGCGATGATGCAGATGGTTTCTGTGTCCAAACAAAACACCTTCTGCTCCTTGAACAAATACGAATGACCCTTGATATAATACATAATACAAACAATAATATGACTAAATCCTCATATTTTTGTTTACTTGAGACTAAGAACCTATGAAGGGGTAGATTTACTCTACAAGAGAGAAATCCTTACAAGGTTACAATATTTAAAATTAAAAGTCAACGGAAACCTTTCTTCGCTGAAAGTTCCAAGTGTTCCCTGTTACTGATCCTGATTGACAGCTCTCCGACACCTGCTCTGTTATTTTTCACATACAATCGTCAACTATGTGTCTATCTATATATGTTTCCATATTTGTCCTTTTCTCGGATATTTATCACTTCTCCTTCATATTCTTATATCTTGGTATCCTGG